AATAGCAATTCAAAAAATGTGATTTTTTTTAGTTATTACCATGAATGAGTTAGGTGAAAATCATTCTAGCAATCATCAGACGTAAACTAATTTTACAGTCCGTCAATCAAAGCACTTATGTCATTTTAAAATTTAAAAAATTTTTAAACAGCCATAATTTTTAAAAACATGTTTCTATAAGAATGATACATTTTGTGTTGTTTTTGAAATTAAAAAGGAGAATCTTCTAGAAAACGTTTACAGTTAAAACAGTTTTGGTAATCGAAGTTTGAAGACAAAATCGTTTTATTTTGGATTTAATGATTTTAGTTTATCAAGGTAAATATAAACTGCTGATATTCCGAGTTATGTCACTTTTGATGAGTTATTACAGATTTTTCATAATGATTAATCAATAATTTTCTGTTAAATTGAAAAATTGTTTTTTCCTTTTCCTGAAAAATTTAATTTTTCAGGAAAGTAATGACTTTCAAAGTAATGACATATGACTCTGTTTTAATTATATAGTGATATTATATTATCACAATTACGGATATTTCAAGATTTCTAATATTAAAACAGTAATTATATAATAGTAGAACAGCCATGTAACGATTAATTAACTATTCCACGAATGTTCATGTAACAACGATCTCGCAAGTTCCTCATACGCGACTTCAAAATCAGGAGTGCGCTCGATAATACGCTTCATATGAGAAAAAGAAAAATTCTAATTAACTAGAAAGCTCTAATTAAAAAAAAAAAAAAATACTAATTTTGACATGACGTTGCTGTCTCGCGCGTTACTGCGAAAAAGGGAAGAAAGAACGAGACACGCAGAAATTCATGTAAAAATCACCGAGAGCGCGCCGTGAATTCCAATAGAACCATTATATTGCAATATGGTTATTTATTGGTGGTTCGACTCTATTGAATCACGATTTCTTGATCCGGCGTTATCGAAAGTACGCGTGCGTGAGCATCAATGTACGGGATGCATTTTGCATTAACTGTTCCCCTTGCTGCTCACCCCCTCGTCTTTTAAATTAATAATCGTAGTCTACGTTACGAACGTGGCGCGTGAGATCGGGTGGTTGATAAATCTCATATAATAAACGCCGGATAAACGTATGACAAATCGACGTATCGTATCGTCGTGAAATCGATATAAGCATCGTCGGAGATTTATTGTTACCTTGGGTGCAACGTTCCTTAATGAGGCAAAAGCGGATCATCGGCCGCTCGTCGCCTCGTAAGCGTTCTGCTATCGCTGGCAATCGAGAATCGCGCACTTGGCTGCGCAAAAAGAAGAAAAAAAAAATAATAAAAAACGTCGACACTTTCTTGGACACGGTGTCGAACGTAGCGACGCAGATTGAGTGCGCACGCTCATCGTTGTTGTCGTCGTGGGGAAACACCTATCCAATACGGGGACCGGCGAACGCTTTCCCTCTAGAACCGTCACGCTTTTCGCACTTGACGATTACTATCTCGGGACACGAAAGTTTATGGATCTCCTTATAGTCTCGGCAGACTTGGTGTGGACTCGCAGATTGTATCACGGATCGCAGCGGCGGTTATGTTTCGCATACGACGAAAACGCTAATCGAACGTGTTGCGCGCTGATGCTTTTCTCCTATCTGCCTCTCCGTTCCCTTCTCCCTTCATCAATCTATGAACTTTGTACTTGTCGGGCGAGACGACCAAAAGTGTCCGTCGTGCGATTGATATTCGTTGCACGAATGTATACGAACGATAAGAGATTGAATTAATTGATGACATGATTTTTTTAGGAAATACACTCTAAATTTCTTGTAGAGTGAAATCTCACTCTCTATAAGAAAGTGAAAATACAACCTTCACTTCACTTGTTTTGAGATTTTGCCTCCTTTGAAATGAAAATTCACTCTAAAAAGAGTGAAAATTGTCATTCTTTTTCAAGAAGTGAAATATTTCCACTTTTTTTTCCAAAGAATGATTGTATTTTCATTCTCTTGAAGTGAGATTTTACTGCAAAAAATTTAGATACATATTGTGATCGTTTATGCTTCGTCATACAATCGTAATGCGTATGCTCATAACATAAGCTATTTATGAATATCATTATATTATATATGAAAGATATTTTGCTAAAATATCTACAAATTTAAATAGATTAATAAATCTGATAGATTAATAAATCTGAAAATATTTTTTAGAACATTAAAGTAATTATATTAGATAATTATATAAGATAATTATATAAGATACTCAAACCGGCTAGAATGTCAAAACTTTTTTGCAATATTGCTTGAGATCCTTATATAATTATTTTGATGGTTCAACAAAATTATTAAAAATCTGTATTTAATTAAATTTTTAGGTATTTTAACGTCATTTGTGTGTATTTCGATTGTAAAGTTTGTTTATTGTTTGATTTACGATTTGAAGTCGACCTTTTCATATCGAAATTGGATCGTTAGCTATTTCTGCAGTTTGCTAATTAAATTTCCATTAAATTAAATCTGTGGAGTTTTACAAAATAAGACTTCTATGTAAAATCAAACGAAAAGTTATAAAATTGTTGATAAAAAAGGAAAGAAAAAGAAAAAACCACGACAGGTCCATTATTTTCTTTTTAAGCGGATGAACAAGATTAATTTAAAAGCTTTATTATGATTCAAACTCTCAAGCAGATATTATGATCGTCTCAGATGATTGAGGATTAATAATGACTCGAAAAGTTTTTTTTTCTCTCTTCGAGATGAAGGATTTTCGAGGGACCGACAGATAATCTCTTATTGCGTGCCGATGAGAAAGTCGTCACAGCCGGGATCCATTACGTGATTTCTTTCTGTGCGATCGATAAGATTTGAGGGGGCGGTGTGTTCCGCACGGCGACGATGGGCCTTTGCCAGCGTGGTTGTCGTTATAGGTGCCATCGAGAGGATCCCTGCGAGCGGTCCCGAGCCTCGCGGCTGAGCCCAGCGTGGGATCAATAAAAATCAAGGAGTCATCGCGATTGGGCGCCACTTGTCATTAATGACTATCCGGTTTTTCGATTTAATTAAATGGCGATGACGATCTTGCCACCTAAATGCTGGCCGTGGTCGCGACTAGCGAATGAGTCACACTGTCATCATTTGAAATAAAAGATCGCTATTAGATAAAGACCAAAATAATGATCCTTTCACTGCTCCAAAATGTATGACTGAAAATCGCTGATGAATGTCGATATCGATGTCGATTTCGCGTTCGGCTTTAAATAAAATCATTAATTAGAGGAGCGGATCCGCGTTTCAAGGGTGT